TTTTTATAGTGCTGGCCACTCCTCGCTGGGTCTGCATTGGCTCAATTCAGCCTCTCCCTTTGTCCCAGACCCTGCATTGCATGTGTCCCAGTACAGTCCCAATGAGATTCAACTGCTGCTGAGGCACTTCGGCCTGGATTTGGACTTGAAAGTCTGGATCTGGACTGACCCCTTGACTTAGACCAGAACTGGGACTGTGCCTACTGACTTCACTTTCGGACAGGCACAACTCTAAACGAACAGACACATTTACTACTTGAACAGGCACTTTACATTGCACGAACATGTACACTGCCTACACGTACAGACACACCCTTACTCGAACAGACATGACATACACATCTCCTGGTGAACAGGTAAGTCTTTTGACAATGCCCTTTGCCTTAGATTTAGATGTGCCTGTTGATAGAGAACTTGACTTTTGACCTGTTTTCACGTTTCTGAGCCCTGGCAAGATACCTTTTCACAATGCTTTACTTTTACAAGGCCCCTGCTGCTCTATTTTTACAAGGCCTGAGGCCTATATCGGGTAAAGGCCCTTTTATCTGTATCGCTCCAATTTTAACAGATGTCCCACAGGACACAAATTTGCAAAATTTGATCATCTCAGTTTTTGAAATTAGACCTTTTTCAAAGTTTGAAATTTGCAAAATTTGATCATCTCAGTGTTGATGTGTGAGCTATCAGGCGGCTCCAAAGTTTCAATTTGTATTGGTTAAACTTTTATTACATTATAAGTTTTATAACCAATTATTTGGAGAATTCTCTGTTGAGTCAAGTTCGGAGAAAGGAACCAAAGGTGGGACAGGGCAACACATTGAGTTGTTTGTTTATTTCTGCCTATTGCAGTTGCCATGTTCGAGGAATTTCAACACTTGTGTGCAGTTTATTTGTTTCTGCGCTTGCATTTCGACCTGCGGAGGAAAACTGTTGGCTCGACGAGTACTACAATGGACTGGAGAAGGAGATTTACCCAGTTCTTCTTCCAAAGATCTTCACAGGCATGGAATTTGCGCAGGTGAATCCCTTCACTTGCCCCAATAGTATAGTGTGGGGCATGCATGAGCCTCCCAGGACATGATTTTGGTCGCCCCTATGGTCGCGCCCCTCATTTGTGGGGCTGCCATACGCTAGTGAGGAGAGGACGATTGGCGAGAGTAGGAGTCTGCAGCGGTAGACATGTAAGGCAGGGGGAAGCTCACCTTGACACCATAGTCAAGGGCTTCACCTTGCTAGAGAGAGGGGGCTTCCACTCTGCGACCTGTAGCGGCTCAAAGCCGTTTCTTTTCCGGGTTAGTCTCTGAGATTCTGAGCTCACAGACACACATAGACACACACAGAGACAGAGACAGAGACAGAGACAGAGATAGATAGATAGATAGATAGATAGATAGATAGATAGATAGATAGAGAGAGAGAGAGAGA